AGGGGCGAGGTTGTGGTTAGAACGCTTGGTTGAGTGCATCAGACGAGACGATGAAGAACTTCATCAAAGCCGGAACTAATCGAGCCGTTTGTGCCAGGCTGGGGAGAAAGGTATTGTAATAATGTAAATTATGTGAAAAATAATGCGTTTTTCGAACCACCAAGCATGAGAGCATGTTCTAGTACACCCCCAAAACATAATCAAGACTTTGTAAAAGAGCATAATAGGAGCCCTTTAACGATCTGAGCATCACCTGCACCTGTTTATCAATCTCAGCCAATCAGCGAAGACACCTCATTAATATTCAAAAACTCATGTAAAATTAAGAGATTTACCTTAATGCGTTTACATTTTCAGATAGATCGATTATAGAAATAGAAATGGCTATATGCGTGTAAAAAATAATTTAAAAAAAACTGTAATCACTAGATTAGTAGAGAAGTCGTGTAAATTCGTTGGTAATAAAAGAGTAATAATTTTAGTTTAACTGAGATACTATTATAGTTTGTGTATGCTTTGAATTGTTTTTATTTTTGCATTTTCTGTTTCCACTGTAGTTTTAGTAATTTTGCTGTTTTTTGTGATTTTTATTAGTTACGTTTTATCATAATATTTATTTAAAAAATATTTGTAATATATTTAAAATAGAAATACTTAAAATATTTATTTCATTATTTTAAAAAACATATTTATTTTAAGAATATTTCGTTACTTTAGTAAAGATCAGATGTCAGTCCCAATGACAGAAAGACACAGAAAACAACAACTTTAATGATCCTCCAGTGAACGTTTACCAATATCAGCGAAGACACCTGATTAATATTCATGAGCACCGCTGATGAAGTCACTGATGCTGATGTTGCAGATGCTCACCGTCCACAGCAGGTCCTGATGGGTAATGAGGAGACGTACGAGCTGGGCCGCAGCGACCGCGCCCTGCATCTCCTCCTGTTTGACGTTCTTTCCGCGAAACGTGAAGAGGTTCGGCGCGACGATCATGGAGACGTTCCACAGACTCATGCGGTTCTTCGTGAACTATCCCTTTAAAGTGTTCTATTTCCGCGCACTAGTTTTGTACTTAACATACTAAAAATGATTCTTTAGTACTTCTTAAGATCAACTAAGTGTACTCCACTGTGCTATTTTGGGACGCCATGAATATGAACTAAAATGCGCTTTTAACCATACTATCTGTATTTAAAAAATGTATTTAGTCAGCACTTGTAGTACACTTGAACCATCTTTCATACACTAGTTAGTACACTCAAGTGTACTACAAGTGCTGACTAAATACATTTTAAATACAGAGATAGTATGTTAAAAGCGCATTTTAATTCATATTCATGGTGTCCCAAAATAGCACAGTTGAGTAACTTAGTTGATCTTAAGACGTACTAAAGAATCATTTTTAGTATGTTAAGTACAAAACTAGTGCGTGAAAATAGAGCACTTTAAGTACATTATAGAAGTGCACTTTTTTTACCCGGGGGTTTATATTACGAGAGAAAATTCTGACAAACTCCAAACAGAGATTTCCACGTGACTTCACTGGAAACGGTCACATTTACGTGCATTCATTCCACTCGCATTGCATTTGAAGTTTATTTGTTCCCTGGGAGTCGAACCCGTGACCTTGGCGTTGCTGGCGTCACGCTCTGCTGTCACTCTCACACACACACACTCTCACTCACACACACACACACACACGTTTACTCAACTATCTAAATAGGGACATTCCATACGTACACTAGCTCACACTAACACACAGAAAACCACCTGCATTTTTAGAGGACATTTCAAATGAGGACATTCCCAGAGGTTTTGTCAGGTTTACCCTGCTGTTCAAAGCTTTGTGATCAGTAAGATTTGTATTGTTTCTTCTGCTCATCAAAGCTGCATTTATTTGATAAAAAAATGCAGTAAAAATAGTGAAATATTATTACAATTTAAAATAAGTGTTTACTATGTGAAAATATTGTAAAACATAATTTATTCCTGTGATCAAAGCTGAATTTTTATCATTATTGCTTATTACTACCATTCAAAAGTTTAGGGTCTGCATTTTTTTTATCTTTTTTTTAATTAATACTTTTTTCAGCAAGGATGTAAAAATCGTACTAATCCCACATTTTTTAATGGCAGTGTAGCTCATGTCTGAGGACAAATTTGGCCTTAAAGCAGGGGTCTGGGACCCATTAGGGGCCCTCGGCACACTTCCAAGGGGGCCAAAAGATGGCTTAAAATATGTAAGACAAAATAAAGTTTAAATAGACTAAAACAGCTACAAAGATGTGAGCTGATATCATATATCTTATTTATTATTATTTAATAAATTTTCATTTAAGAACCAGGATGTAGATAAACTGTATACAAAATATAAATTATATACACACATTTTGTCAAGCTCTATAATATTTTATTGAGTCAAAATTGATATTTGTGCACGAAAAGTCATTTTAAAAACCCTGAAATCACAAACTTAAAAAGTCACTGTAAATTATATTTCACTCATCATAAAAAGTAAAAATGGTGAACCAGTGTTGTTTTAGTATCACTGAGTATCATCATTTAATTCTAATCAATTTAAATTTATTAATTTTGTTTTGTCATTTTTATTTGTTTTTTTCACGCGTCAATATAGTTTTCATTCATTTTTATTTCAATTTTAGTTTTAGTACATCAAGTAACTAAATTAAAATTAAAATGGCAACTAGCTCAAAATAAGTGTAATTATTTCTATTTAATTTCATTGAACTTTTTTTTTTTTTTCAAATAACAGAATTTTTTATGGTTTGAGTTTTAGTTAAATATGATAACCCTTTCCGCGAACAATATTCAGCTGCTGGAAGTATGAGATTTAATTATTCTAATTATTTATAATAATTTTATGTATTTATTTTAATATATCGCCACTCCTAGTTTCTTTAAATAAAACGTTTGAAATATCTTTGAGGATATTCAAATATTGTCTTGACAATGAGGGGCCAAGAAGCTTAAGAACTGCTGCCTTAAAGTATAGTTATTTAGTTTTGTGCATCACATCATCTTCAGGAAGCGTTTGAGAGCGTGATGAGATGAACAGACCTTCAGTGTGTCTCTGTTGGCTTCAGGAAGCAGCATGATGAGAAGATGAAGAGCTTGAATCTGATGTTTGGGTGATGAGATACCTGACAGACAGAGAGATCAGAGACGAGACACTGAACAGTCACTAGCTATGTTTCTATCACCCTGTTTTTATGCGCATTTTGAAGTATCGCATCAGAAACCAGTGATTGAAACTTCAAATTTCGAATAAAAATCCCTTAAAGGCACAATATGCAATTTTCGCCGCTAGAGGGCGCGTATTCAAAATAAACAAAGAGGCAAAGGCGTAGTTTGATGACGCCGTGACTGAGTGTGGAATCATGGGAGTTGTGGTCTTCATCCCCACAGCCGAAGCAATCCGACGGGACTCGGGCAGAAATCATGTTCATGGATGAGCTAATGATTTATTAACGTAGTAGAATGAAGCGGGGTGAGGCTGAAAGCCGTCGAAGCGAAACGAGGCCACTGAACGAGCGTGACACACGGCTCGAAAGCAGCGGAGCATTTATTATGACATAGTAGGGCTGCCACTAACGACTATTTTTATTTCGATTAATCTATCGACTAATTTATCG